CCCTGTCTGTCCACCCACTGATCTCAGAGTTGAGGAGCTCATTCTGCAGTTGCCTGTTCTCCTGACCCCAGTCCAGGTTGAGGTTCCTCAGTCACCAGTGCCTCTCATTAAGGTCACGAAGATCATCACGCAGTTCTCTGCCATCAATCCATTCTTTCATAACTCACATAGCTAATGCTATTCTCACGAACGTAGCCATTATTCCTCTGCTTTCTTCTGAAGCAACCACTCTAAGCTTCTGTGGCTATCGTTGATCCTCTACAGCACCCCATAACAGCCGCTGACAGGTCTTGAGCAGGGAAATGTGGATGAATTTCTCGACCTAGCCCATCAGTTACCCTTCCCGGATAACTGCCTCTGCTAATTTTTGATCGCTGGACTTAAAAATGCCACCAAGGTCCAGTTGCCTGGGAGGGCCCTCGAGGGAGCTTCGCCAAATTTGTGGAGTGGGTGCAGGTCTCATGTGGATTGCCGTTTAACGTCTGACTTGTCGAGGACACCAGCCTCACTCGCAAGCCTGTGCCCAGCCTGAAACCATCAGACCTCCTGAATCAGACGACTCTTCTTCCGTCTCACTAGTCCCGCCCAGCCTCCCTCTCCAAATCTCAAACTGTGTGTGCACCCAAGCCATATTGTTTGGTGCCAGTCCCTCTATTCCTCCTCAGTCTCTTCTCTAGCCCTCAGGCACTCCTGCTGCCCAGTCCTCAATTACTGCTTTTCCACTGGGGCTGGTGCCAGAGCTGGAGCCGGTGCTCAGCCAAGACTGGCACTCATTCAGAACTGGCTTGTGCTTCCACTGGCAGGGAGCAGAACCCTCTACATCACCAACCTATGACCGTAATCACTTGATATCTCTTGTGGAAGGAGAGTGTTGATCTCTTCTGCTGACCATCTCTGAACTGACATATTTAATTGTTGTGGTAATGTTGTTAATTTACCCGAACTCTGATGGCTTTTAAAAATAGGTTTGTTCGAGATGGGAACCTATGACAGAAGTAGGCAGAGTTTCCACTACAGACCGCAGTTTGAAAGGAGCTATTAGGCTTGTTTGAGATGCATCGGCGCTGCATAGATCGATCGGTGTATGACATCAAAGTACCGCAAGTGCAATTCAAAAGCATTAAGAGTCGTCTGCTCTCCAATTGCTCTCACTCTACTTTGATTTCATATGCCGATCGTCTGCGCAGTGCAGATGCATCTCGAACAAGCCTAATGGCTCCTTTCAAACTGCGGTCTGTAGTGGAAGCTCCACCTGCTGATGTCATAGGTTCCCTCGTTAGAGACCAGCAAGGTTTCGGGGCTGGTTCGGAACCAGGATCGGGGCACTGGCCCAGGATTTTTTCAAATGGAAAAGCACGGCCCAGTTCCCAACTGGGCTTTGGCTCCGGCACCAGTCCCAGTGGAAAAGTGTTAAATGTCTCCCATCAGCCCCTGCTCCTCAGCCTCCTCTTAGTGGCAGGGCAACACCTCGGGGCTGCTGCGAGACAGTTCCTCCTGGGCGTGGGGATCCCTTGGCTACGGCCTCAAATCCTGTAATTCCACCTCGGCCCGTCGCCCTGAACAATCGTGGCGATTTTTGTGATCGTGGCTCCTAATCAGTGATGCTGTGTCGTACAGTGAGAGCGGTTCAAAGACGGCTGTTGTCAAGGTCTTGCGACCAAAGATAGCCTACGATACAGCATGATCATCGCACAGTGTGTTTGCTGCTACGATCCACATTTACTGACCAACCAATAAAAATGTGACATTAAATCAACACGACATGGTGCTAAAACATAAAACTCCTTACCTCAAGCTCTTATCCCTTCCTCTTTTACTGCTTCCAATTTGTTTCAGCACACATAAAAATACAACTGCTAAAGTGTGACTCATCATGCTCTTTTTGTTTACCACTAGCAATGATGTCCAAGTCAGCCGAACATACTGACTTTATGGATTTGAAAGTTAATTTAATCCATCAAAATGGAAATAACCACGTTCTTTCAAACAGAGCTGAAGAATGTGCTGTCAAACGAATTTGACACGGTTAAATCAGAGCTACAAGCAGTTAAATCAGAGATAGCAAGCAATGCTTCGACTCTTCGCTCAGACTTCGCTCAAAAAATTAAAACGACAATATCAGACATGGAACGAGGGCTATCTGGCTGCTCGGACGATAACACAGTACTACAAAATACTGTGCACAAATTGGAGAAAAATGTGGAAAGCCTGCAGGAGAAGTGCTTGGACATGGAAGGGCGAATGAGAAGGTCAAATATTCGCATACTGAATGTAGCTGAAGAATCTGGCGCATGTTCCCCAACCTCAGTGTCAAGCTGCATAAGGATACCTTAAAGATGTGCTAATCGACAAACGGGCAGATGGTAAACCAAGAGCAATCATAGCAAAATTGCATTACTATCAAGACTGTGTCGAAATTCTCCGCCGTGTTCGTGAAATCTGGCCACTTCATTACAAGGGTTCAACAATACTCATCTTCCCCGATTAACCACCAAGCGTGGCCCGTGCAAGATCGGCGTTTAACGAAGTCAGAAAACTACTACGAGGAAGAGAGGGTGTCTGCTACGGCATTCTCCACCCGGCTAAACTCCGAATCACCCACAACGGAACAGAAAATAATGAATATTTAAATTTTATTCAAATCCAGTTGTTAAGCACAATTTAGAAGAAGTTTTGCACTCAAGGAATTATCAGTCTACGCTCCCATAGCAAGAAATCAGGTTTACCCCTTCTATTATGGATGAAACCTTTAATATTTGGTCTGTGAAAGGTCTTAGGACACTAAAAGATATGTTTATTGATGGAGACTTTGCATCATTCAGTCAAGTGAAAATGAAGTTCCAAATTCCTGACTCCCACTTTTTTAGATTTCTTCAGCTTCGTAGCTTTGTGTCTTCCTCATTGAGCCACTATCCTTCATTGCCTCCCTGTTCCCTTCTTGAGTCTATAATGGACCTGAGTCCATATTCCAAAGGAGCCATTGGTAAAATTTATTCTGTAATTAATTCTCATAACCTGGAACCCCTAGCTCAACTAAAAAGAAAATGGGAGGTGGAATTAGATATAGAACTCTATGTATTCTGTAATAAATTCTCATAACCTGGAACCCCTAGCTCAATTAAAAAGAAAATGGGAGGTGGAATTAGATCTAGAACTCTCAGAAGACATGTGGCAGTCTGTCTTAAATAATATTTATTCATCTTCAATTTGTCTAAAACATAGAGTAATTCAATTTAAAATTGTTCACAGACTGCATTGGTCCAAAGTGAAATTAGCCAAATTCAAACCAAATTTAGACTCTAACTGTGATAGGTGTGAAATTGAGCCAGCTATGCTATCTCACATGTTTTGGCTTTGTCCAAAATTAAAAGACTTCTGGCAGTTGGTATTTAAATTTCTCTCTGATACATTAAAGACATGTATAGAGCCTGAGGCCATAATTTCTATATTTGGTATCATACCACGATCCTTATGTTTTAATCAAAGTACGAAAAGACCCTAACTGTGATAGGTGTGAAATTGAGCCAGCTACGCTATCTCACATGTTTTGGCTTTGTCCAAAATTAAAAGACTTCTGGCAGTTGGTATTTAAATTTCTCTCTGATACATTAAAGACATGTATAGAGCCTGAGGCCATAATTTCTATATTTGGTATCATACCACAATCCTTATGTTTTAATCAAAGTAAGAAAAATATGTTCGCTTTTGCTATGCTTTTAGTGCAGAGGTTAATACAGCTCAAATGGAAAGAAAAATCCCCTCCAACCTTTAAGCAATGGCTTAAGGACCTACTACATTATATGGCCTTAGAAAAAATACGGCACACTATAAGAGGCTGTACCAAGATGTTTTATATTACTTGGCAACCTGTTTTAGATCAGATAAAGAAGATGGACCCCTCAGTTATCTCAGAGGAGTAGTAATTTTTTTTTTCATATCAGAAAGCTAAAATGTATAATTGTGCAACAGGGGGAATTGTTGTGGGTAGGGATGTTATCTAAAAAATGAAAAAGATGTCTAACTGTATTATATGTGTCATGTTTGACAAAATATTAAATAAAAACACTTAGGAACAAAAAAAAACATACATACACAGGACATAACCATAAAACATTTAAGGTTACATCATAAGCATAGTATTTTTAGATCATAAAATATGAATAAACTACAAAAAAATTATCACTTTCATTACCACTCTTTTTTTATTAAACCATTTTCATTCTCTACCAAAAATGTCCACCACAATGACAATCTGAAATCTACAACAGTACGTAAAGTCCTTTTAAAATACTATTTAAAATATGTTTGGCAGAGGATCATGTAGGGTAAGGCCATTATTTATTTTTTTGTTCAAAAACTGAAGAGTTGGTTTAATATGACCTCAAACTTCCAAGGGGAACCTAATAAGTCTTAAAATGATTTAAATTACTCAAGTTTAAAAGGTTTAGATATTTGCAGACCCTTGTATATGAAATGTAGGCTACTTCAGTCAAATATATACACTTCCATATTATTTACTTTTAAATAAGAATATATCATACTGTAGGGGGAGAGCGGGGCACAAAGTAACACTTTTTGACTTTCTCAAATTGTGTAAATCCACATGGGGTTCAGAGTATCCCCCCCCAGTGTTTAACCTTATTGAAAAGCATTTGCGATTAAAATACTGTTTATTGTTATTTTATTATGGGTAATTCTTTTGTTAAATCTGCTTATTTCTCAAAGCACATGAATAAAGCTGGGCTTTTCCAAAGAATTCTTGTTTATGAACTTCTTTGTCTTGTGGTTTTTTTTTTTTTTATATAAAAAACAAATAAATAAATTAGTTGAATGAATGTATTATATATACATTTTATAAATGGCAAATGCTGTATTTTCCACGATTATGAAAGTTTAGGAAATGTATGATGGAAGTTTAGTGAAGATGCGGGACAGGTGCAGCGGGGTGTGTCACCTCTATAAATCACACTAATGAGCGCTTTTCTTGCACAGCCTATGCTTCGGGAGAGTAATCATGGCAGCAGTGTCGCAGATGTTCGTTTGAACAGATTTGGCCTGTATTTGAAGTCTCTTTAATCAGCTGAAGCGGTTCGTGTTGAGATAATGAGCAGCGGGACTCCTTACATCGGCAGTAAGATCAGTCTGATCTCTAAAGCTCAGATTCGCTATGAGGGAATATTATACACCATAGACACCGATAATTCCACTGTGGCCCTGGCGAAAGGTGAGTGACCTGTCCGCAGCGCTCGCGACAGCAATACACGGGCCGAGCTAATCCTAGTTTCCAGGTGGTGCTCCGCACGTGAGATCCGCTTTCAAATCAGATAACCAAAAAACCGAGTCTTTCTGAGCCAGTTCTCTTCAATTATATGAAATAAAATAGGTGTTTAAACGTGCAAGGAATGTTTATGTATCACGTGTTCAAATAAAACCCCTGCTGACCTGTTTTTATACAGTCTGCTGCAGACCTGCTGCAGTTTTTAATCGGTTTATTGAAACAGTCGAGCAAATTAATAACGAAGCCTAATCGAAGTCATGGTCAAACATAGTACCTTTCTTTTAACTTAATCGTAATTGTCTATAGGTTTGAGTGTGTTAATCTGTATTTGACCCTCTAACTCTAGCACTCTATTCTAATTATATTTTATCTATATATTTTTATTTAAAGGAAAACGAACGCTTGACCCTCTAACACTTGTACTCCCAATTCGTTTTCTAACTGCTTGTTTTCTTGTTATTGTATATGAATGAATGAATGAATTAATTAATTAATTAATAGCTTTGCTACTTGTACTGTTAAGCTAACTGAGACTTGTCACAGCACTTGCATATTGTTGCTGTTTTGTTGGTTTGATTGCTTCTACTGTCCTCGTTTGTAAGTGTCTAAATATAAATGTTAACGCTGCAGTCCCATTGCTGGTGTAAGTGGAAAGGAGAGGGTGAAGTTCGGTTGGGTTCGAGCTCTGTCTCGTAAGGTCCATCACATTGGTTTATCTGGACGTGACAGTCATGGAGTCTCACTGCAGCTTTTGTTTTTGTCAGTGAGGTCCTTTGGGACGGAGGGGCGACCGACAGACCGGCCCGTGCCGCCGAGGGATGAGGTCTTCGAGTACATCATCTTCAGAGGAAGTGACATCAAAGACATCACGGTCTGCGAGCCTCTGAAGATTCACCACAGTCTTCCTCAGGACCCTGCTATAGTTCAGGTTAGTTTGGCTGCGAGGGAGTCTCCCCAGCAGGTTTCTGCAGGCAGGGCTGATGTGTGCTTGTCTCCGTCAGTCGTCTGTGGGGTCGGTCCTGCTTGTTTTCTTGTTATTGTATATGAATGAATGAATGAATTAATTAATGAATAGCTTTGCTACTTGTACTGTTAAGCTAACTGAGACTTGTCACAGCACTTGCATATTGTTGCTGTTTTGTTGGTTTGATTGCTTCTACTGTCCTCGTTTGTAAGTGTCTAAATATAAATGTTAACGCTGCAGTCCCATTGCTGGTGTAAGTGGAAAGGAGAGGGTGAAGTTCGGTTGGGTTCGAGCTCTGTCTCGTAAGGTCCATCACATTGGTTTATCTGGACGTGACAGTCATGGAGTCTCACTGCAGCTTTTGTTTTTGTCAGTGAGGTCCTTTGGGACGGAGGGGCGACCGACAGACCGGCCCGTGCCGCCGAGGGATGAGGTCTTCGAGTACATCATCTTCAGAGGAAGTGACATCAAAGACATCACGGTCTGCGAGCCTCTGAAGATTCACCACAGTCTTCCTCAGGACCCTGCTATAGTTCAGGTTAGTTTGGCTGCGAGGGAGTCTCCCCAGCAGGTTTCTGCAGGCAGGGCTGATGTGTGCTTGTCTCCGTCAGTCGTCTGTGGGGTCGGTCCATTACCCTGCGTCTCAGGGCGGCTACAGTCCTTACCGGAGCGTGCTGCCCTCCTACAGCCAGCTGGCCGCCAGCTCGCTCCTCAGCCAGCAGTACGCCGCTGCCCTGGGCCTCGGTAAGAAGAGCAGCCTGAGACCAGCTGAGCTGTGAGCGGTGCACTGAGTGACTGTTCGCTGTCTGTTTCTGAGGCTCTGGTTTGCCTGGTGTTCCTGTGAGGAGAGGCCCGATGGTTGAGCAGGCTGTTCAGACGGTGCCTGCGGAGATAGCGGTGCAGAAGAAGGGTTTGTCTGGAGCGCAGCAGGGAGGAGAGCCGGGCCGAGCGCAGAGGGCCAGAGCCCCGGCCCAGAGAGGTGAGCGACTCTGCTCCAAAGCGGAGTTAACCTGGCGAGAACCCAAACAGGGCAGTTTTAGTGCTAGAAGATCCTCTGACATGTTCTCTGCCAAACCCCTTTATCATGTTTTAGTAGGTTGTGCTGGTTTTAACCCTGAGAATCCTTTTTTTTTTTTTGGGAGAAGAGATTTTAAGAGTTAAGCCGTTTGCTGTTTTAGAGTTTAGCAGAAATAAGTTATGAAATGAAATTAGCCACAGAAGCTGGCGTGGCGTTAAACAAACTCAAACATGGCTTACTCTTGGTTTTGCTGGTCTGGCGTTCGTTCGGTCACCTTATGAAGTATGAAGCGATCCCGTGAACACGCAGATCACAGTACACGAGTCTCCCTGTGAACTGATGCTAAGAGGGCTGGAGTGCTACTTTTGTACTTCTGGTTAATAGTAGCTTGTTTCTTTTTGCATATTGCAGAATGTCTTGGCAGAATTTTTTTTTTTTTTTTTTTTTCTTTTCTTTACTTTCTTAACTCTTAATGTAGTTATCATAGTTATCTTTAGTTTATAGTTATCGTTTCTGAGCAGGCCTTTGGAAAGATGCCAAACATATGTACACCAACCCAGCCGTGAACTTCATATAGGTATTAACATTTACGTCAGTGAACAAAATTCCATGCTATTTTAAAACTTAATTAATTGGCTGTATTGAAACCATAAACAGTTAAATAGTTCCATTCATTACCAAATCATAGCTTCTGAAACCAAACTACTGATGTTTCCACAGATCCTTCTTGGTGACATTTCCTGCAGTGATTGAGTCCAGCTCTGATGCCAAATTGTGTGCAAGTCTTCTGAAACCCAATGAGAGTCTCACATTGACCGTTTCTCTGCTTGATCACAAAAACCAGACGACACAACTTGTGCAGCAGAGATCTTCGGCAGAGTTTCACCGCTGCTTTAGTTTCCAGGTCTGTCATCACGTGGAATATGCAGCATTTTCGTCTGGTTTTTGTGCTAACAACATGATTCTCTACAGGCTCCTCGAGTAGATGGAGAATTGGTGCAGAAACTGAGGGTGGTAGTTCAAGGGAGGGTTTTCAAAATGATAGAAGAGAGGAAAGTCATGTTCAAATATTCCCTGCCTTTGACCTTCATCCAAACTGACAAACCCATCTACAATCCAGGACAAACTGGTGAGCTACAAATGACCCTTGGATGAATATTTAGTCAACTGAACTTGTAGCATTTGTTACACTTTCTAAATGTTCAATTGCATTATGTAATAGATGGCACTAGGGATATGCCGATATCAAATTTTCATGTTGCGATTAATTGCTTACTTCATTAACAAACTTTTTATTTCTTTGATGCTTAAAAGATTGCACAAACTCAAATCATTGTGACAATACAGATGTAGCGTATAAAAATATAATTCTATTTTTAGCCATTGTGCTTCTACATCTGATATAGAAGTATATTAGAAGATTTGTGAGGTGCAGAACGCATTGCTCTAACTGTAATATTGTGAGTACTGTCAGCTGTGTTAGTGAGGCCTGTCCCAGCTCCAGTGGTCACGGGCAAAGATGGCATGACATTCCCAGTATTTGGCCCAAGTGTGTTGTACACGCACAAAAAAAAGCTAAATTCAGTATTTCCTATGTAACTGACAACACAATATTAGTTGTGGGACTTCTGTCTGTTTTGTTAGTGATTTTAAAGCGGTCCGCAGCGTTCTTTTGTCTCTGCACTAATACAGTGCATGTCTGTAGCAGTACTGAAGATGTGGTGGGTTTGGTGTTTGTTCAAGGCACTCAGATGGCCAAGACCACAAGCATGGGTATTGCTATGGTTACTTGAATACCCTAAAATGACCTCCTTTTGGTTACGGTTTACTTTAAGGAAACTTGTAATTCACTTAACCGCTTGCTTGGTAGACTTATAAAAAAAAAAAAAACTCTCTCTCCACTTCCTGTTCTCCCCGTGGAACCCGTCTGTTTCAGCTGCACAGCAAGGAGCCTTGAAGGGACCGAGTCCAGCCAATGATGAGAACAAGCCTCCAGGCAGCAGGAGAAAACAAGGTAAAGACTGCAGGGTTTGTTCTCCTGTGGAAACGGACACTGCTTCCGATCCACATCTGAGGTGTCTTGCAGGAGCTCGACGGTCCAGGAACCGCGGCCGAGGTCAGATCCTCGTAGGCAACACCAAGCCCAGCACCCTGCAGTTTGAGTCGGACTTTGACTTCGAAATGGCAAACGCTCAGTTTAATAAAGACGACCTGGAGAAAGAGATTGAAGACAAGCTCAGTGTTCAAGGTATGTGCTTCTACATGAACGCCTGCGGTTTTCTACTCCTTTGACCTTCTGGAGCTGATTAGAGTTTTCTTTGTGCTCTTGTTTCTCCTGTCAGAACCAAAGGAGAGCCCAGAAGAAAGGAGCGATAAAGAGCAGGAAAAGCCTGTCCCTGAGAGTGAGAGCACTGTTGAAGAGGATCCACTCGGGCCCAAGTGCTTTTACAATAAAGCCAAGTGCTTCTTCGATAACGTCTCCTCAGAACTCAAGTCGAGGTATGAGCGTTTGTGTCTCCGGCAGGGGAGCGTTTCCTCGGAGTAATCTCTCTGTCTGTCTCCAGGCGTACCACATGGGCTGAGGAGAGGAAGCTGAACGTGGAGACCTTCGGGGTCCCCGGGCGGTTTCTGCGAGGCCGTGGGTTTCGGGGTAATTACAGAGGGAGACGGGGCCGAGGGGCTGCGCAGCATCCCGTCCCACAGAGGGTAGGGAGTGGACGGCTGTGAGGCCTGGCGTGAGTCGATTACTCTGTTGATGAACTCCGTTATTGAGTATTACAGCTCTGTAAAGTACAGGATCTCCGAGTCCTCTGGACTGTCTGCAAGGAGAACCGTTCAGGGCTGCGTTTCCTGTACAACGGTGTAAACCGCTGATTAACCACCATAGTACGATGCATTGTTGTGGAAACGAACTAGCTAGTCACGACTGTTTCCCGAACACATTAGTTCAACATTATAGGGCCGTTGTTAATGACGTCACACGCATGTGGTGGAGTAATAACTTCTGCTAATTAACTGATTAGAGTTCTCGAAGATGCTGCTGTATTGATCATGGCACCTGATGACTAATTTAACAGGTTTTTTTTCCCTGTCGTTTTGCTTTATTTGACGTTTGACTCATCGCAGGACCCTCTTACGTCATACTCCGGGGTTCCCTTAGCTGTTTATGCACATGCACACTCTTCAAAAACCGCTTATTGAGGACGTGCTAAAATACATGGATTAATATGCGTTGATATTTAGATGGAATGGAATATAAACGTAGTACTGCATGTTAGCTTGCTTGTTGTGCCCAAAAGCATATTTATTTAAGCCCATAGGTCTTCCTAACAAGAAACTATGCTTCTAACCACAGATCGAGAGCTGTGTTTCCCACTACGTAAGTTTGCGACGCTGATTGCGAATGTTCGTTTGAACTGTGGTTTCGGGAAACACCGAATCGTTGAACTATGCTGGTAACAACAGAACTTGTGGACTTGGTTGGCTAGCGATGCTTTTGGGAAACGCACCCCTGATGTGTTCAGTTCTCAAGATGAGGAACGTGACCGATTCACCTGTGTGCTAATATCAAAGTGTTGGCAGTCTTATCAGTCTGTCATCATGGATCTCTCTTCAAGATCTAATCAACTCCTGATGCATTGAAATCCCACTCGCCATTGCAAATGCTTGCTGGCTCTGAGTGAATGGCTACAACTTTGGCTTAAACTTGCCTCTTTCCTCCAGATACACTGCCTTCCTCTGGGACGTGGGTGATTTGGTTTCCAGTGTCGGAGATCTTCAGTGGTAAATCTCACTAGACCGTTCTCGTCATCTCGCCCTCCTGTGAAAAATGGCTACATTGATTGTTACTTTTCATTTGATGTTTAAACTGCCTTTTCCTTTTTGTTTAATGTGAAGAATCTCTCGGCTTTAATATGTGAATGCACCATAATCCATCAGTGATTTCTGCATTTGAACTAGGGTAGCACTTTTATTTGTATGTACGGCCAATTTAATGGCTATACAGGAATATCCATTTAGATGGAGTAGATTAACTTCAGCCTATGGTATGTGGTCCCCAATACATTTATTTATTTATTTATTTTATTTTTTATTTATTTTTTTTTTCTCCATGCGTGTTAAATTGTAAGGGGATCTTGTTGATTGTGATTGTTAATAAACCTAGGAAATGAAAATCTTGAGTCTGTATGTTTGATTGAGGTATTGTGTGTGTTTTTTTTTTTTTGTTTTTTTTGTTTAATTGGCACTTTGTGAATTTACTTGCAGAGATTTAATTCATAAGGGAGCCGCTATTAATATGCGGGGCATTGAAACCGCACGATCGCTTTTTACTTTCACTTTGGAGATTTGCGATCGCACGTGATCTGTGTAAACTACAGCGGCAGTACTTACTGCACATTTTACAAGATCTGGGGCCCGTTCTTCGTACGTCGCTAACTAAGTTAGCTGGATTTGATTGTTGATGATTTGGCATGATCTTGGATTGTTTGGTTCTTCGACGCTGATCCCGGAGTTGCAGTCATAGCAACAGGTCCGTAAACTTAAACCTGCTCGGGAGCAGCTTATTTCATGTGAACAGGATTAGATTGCATCTTTTTAAGCAGAACTGATACTTAAAATCTGTCCCAGCCACCGCTACTTTATTACAAGAGTACCCTACTAATCCAGGGACAATAATTTTAAATAATAATCATTTAAAAATTAATTTAAAGATAATATAATGATGTGTAGTCTTTATAGACACAAACTGTTTTACTCACTGAAAGATTTATTCGTTATAAAATTATTACTTGATTGTATTCGAGTCTTACACGCATGCTATACAGATAATGTAGAGTCGTGCATTAATTTGAGCGGTGACAGATATTATGGGAGTGGCTTGATGGAGCGCAGGAGATGCAGATCATGACATGTATAGACACCCCATTCGGGGAATCATGTAAAAAATTTAAAAAAAATAAAAACTGTGCACATTTCATTTATTATAACATTTATGTAGTTTTGTTCGCTTGGCTGTTTCCTTATAAAAGTCCAAAAATTTGTCAAGTTTTTCGTCAGGTGTCTTTTTTAATTATATGATGTCATTACATTGCTGTCTTGCCGCCAGCC